ATTGTGCCATTCTATCCAGCTAACAAACACAGCTGCTCTAGCTTGGAAGGTTTATAAAATGAAGCATAGATTCACAAAAACGTTTTGTTTTCACTTATCTCTGGTTAAAGATATACTTCAAAGGATATAACCAAGCAGTGAGATTTTGTAGTGCCAAGCCAAAACAATCAGTGAAGAAAAAAAAAGTGTTCCATTTCCAATATACAAACCTTCCAGCCTCCAAGTAGCAGTGTTATTGTTGCAAATTTCCTTATTTCTTTTTGTATATTTTATGATGAAGGACGCTTAAACAATTATAGTGAAATGAAAATAGAGATATGATGATGGTGACATGTAGAAATATTTGAGTTAAAATGCTTGAGTTAATATGAATTATGTTTGTTGACTGTGGAAGAGATGCACGAAAGTCTTTTTGTAACAAACTGATACACTTTCTACAGCATGTAAAGAAGGATGTTGTGTTCATTTTGAATTAAAAATAAAAAAAAATATTTAAAAAAGAGGTGGATCGCTCCTGGTTCAGCCCAGTTCAGCCGAACTGGTAATGGTAGTGGTGGTGGTAGGCTCCGCCCCCCAATGCCTCTGTGCATGCCCAGAAGCATTGTGCACGCATGAGCTCATATGTGAGCATGAGTGAACCAGTAATAAACTGGTTAGCAACCACTACTGGAAATCCTGTGTTATAAAAAACAATGAATTTCACAAAGATGATTATGGGATGGAGACTAAAACACATGAAGAATGGTTGCAGGAATTGGGTATGTCTAGTTTAATTAAAAGAAGGATTAGAAGTGATATGATAGCAGCGTTCCAATATCTAAGGGGTTGCCACAAAGAAGAGGGAGTCAAGCTATTGTTCCAAGAACCTGAGGGTAGGACAAGAAGCAATGGATGGAAACTAATCAAGAAGAGAAGTAACCTAGAACTAAGGAGAAATTTCCTGACCATTAATCAGAAATTAACTTGCTTCCAGATGTTGGAGGTACTCCAACACTGGAGGTTTTAAAGAAGAGATTGGGCAAGTAATTGTCTGAAATGGTGTAGGGTTTCCTGCTTCAGTAGTGGTTTGGACTAGAAGACTTCCAAGGTTCCTCCCAACTCTATTATGCTATTATTCTGGTGGAAAATGATACATCAATAGAAAAACAATAGAAAATTATATCAAACTCTTCTTAAATCTACCTAACTTTAGATTTTAGGTATGAAAAAGCAACAATTTGAGATTAGAATTTTGCAGTCTTAAAAAATTATGTAGAGGAAAAAAATTGAAGAGGACCCAAGCTTGCTGCTACACAACTCCACACAAGGGAATGGCTATAGTATGGAGTAGCTAAACCATCAAGGCTATCCAAACATTTGAGGAAGAAAAAGAATTGCTACTTTAACAAACAACAGAGGTGCTATACTCATGTGAGGTGTCACACAGTCCTTCCACATAATTTCTAGAGCATAGACTTCACTAATGAAGATTATTAACAATGGATCTATCCGTAATGAAATACGCTTTAAAATACACAATTAAGAAAATTCAGAAAGAGAAGAGCTACGAGCAAGTAAGTGAGCTGTTTTGAGGAAGTAAGAGAAAGATTACAGTTTGTAAACTGATATTGTCAAAACGGAACCCTTTTGTAAAAGTGTGTCAATATTTTTGCATATTTGTGTGTGAGGGAGATTATGTGTATTTATGTTTAAAACATACCGTATGTTACAGAAGTATATAAATAGGGACATAAAACAATGTGGATTTTTTCTTTATTTATAACATGTTAATCCACACAGACATCTACTCAGGTTATGCTTCTCTTACAGAAATAAAATATTTTCATATAGCGAAATTCTGATATAACATTTGCCATTTTCAAAGTATTAGTAACACCTTTTATTTATGAATATTAAATGTTACTTAGGAAGGTTTAATTAGGTGAGAAGGGATTTTGTGGATAATTGTTCCCATTTTTCTCTTATATTTTCTATTGGTATTTCTAGAAGAGATTATAAACTAATTTATGAATCACAGTCTAAAAGGTATGATGTATTCGCAAGAAAGCCCATATATTTAATGTAGACATCAAAATATGCTGTAGTTGTTGTAATGTCTTTGTGCACATTCATTAAAAATAGATGAAATACTATTTGAAGCTATGATAATTGATCATAGATGAATTCCTGGATTTACTACAGTATGTTAATCATGCTTCACCACTGCAAACAATGAATATGTTATTGTAAATATCAATATGTTCATGCCCCTGTATTATAATTAGAAATTTATCACTATGTATCTATGACTGAAATATCACTTTTAGTGGGTATGAGTGAGCACACTACATTTGTCTCACCTTCTTACAGAAGTTTTGTCTTTTGTTATGCTCATATAGTAGCCATGCAATTCAATAAAATCTATAGTTGAATTAAGGGAAATATGACATGCCATGGAACCATTATTGATGATTTCTTAACTCAAACCCATACTTTTCTAGGACTGAGTGGATATTGCATAAACCCAGAGGAAAGAGATTTTTTAAAGGATATGTCTACTTTTATAACTATAATGGCAAGTCGTGGTTTCCCATTATAGGATAACCTGTACTTCTATCCTCCACAAAGCACCATTTTGGCTACAACAGAGCACCCTCTAATTTTCATTAATTCAATTGGAGATTGTGAGTTATTTATGACATATATTTGTGTGAATGAAGATGAAAAAACAATACACCTGAGAGCCACTTAAGGCAAGCCAGGGAGATAAAAAGAGCTGATCAGGGAAATTTTAAACTACAGAACCCACACTAATGTGAAGAATTAATTAGATAATGGGTAGGGATAGTGATTCTAAGTCTTTTTAAATATATATTTAGTATTCCATTGTGTTAGAAAGAATCAACAAAAAATTGAAAGTAATGGAAACATCAACAAGACATATGTTTATGGATATTCTCAGTCATCCAGGTCATGGTTGTCTCAAAGGTGCTTTTTTTTTCGAAAGGCAACTAGATTTCGCCAAGGTGGCGCAGTGGTTAAATGCAGCACTGCAGGCTACTGCTAGATCAGCAGGTCAGCGGTTCAAATCTCACCGGCTCAGGGTTGA